GGGGGCCCGCGCGGCGCCGCGAGCCGGGCGTTCGCGGGGGAGGGGACCGGCGGCATTACCATTTTGATTGCTTTGATGCCGTTTTCGGAGGGGGAGGGGTTGGGAGCCCCTTCTCCGGGAGCACAAAGATGTTTAATCACGGTGTAGAATCAAATCAGGTACTTTCTTTAAAAAACAAAAACAAAAACAAAACAAAACACCAGATCGGCCGGGTGTGAGCTGAGGGCTCCGGAGCCCTTTTTTCTCGGGATAAAACGGCAAGTTGTTGGCTCTTCCGCTTGGAGTAGAAGATTAAGGGAGAGACCCAGTAACCCGGCGGCTTTTATTGCGACAGCATCTCCGGTGTGCTCTGCACGGCGATAGTTTCACTGTGTGGAGTGGCTCTCAGAGCTTGGATTTGGTTTCCTTGGTATTGTAGCAACTGTTCAGGGCTGTTCCGGTTTTTATGATGCTAGTCTAGGAGCAGCTATTTATTATCTGCCATGCCGGAATTTCTGTCCGGCTGAAAGAAACCCTGGAAGATCCTGTGTGAAGACTGCGGGTCTCTTCGGGGAACTGCTCTGAGCCCGGGGCCTTCTCCTGCAAACGTGAGCTCTGGGAAGGAGGCTGTGAGCGCACCCACCTCCATCTTTTTGTGTGTGCGAGTGCGTGTTGAAAAAGAAAGACAACAGCGGAAACTTTTGTTCTGGGGCCTTTTAAAAAGGTTTCTCTTTTCAGTGGCTTAAAAATAACATCTGCTGAGCAGCCAGGGCTTGGCCTGTCATCCAACTTGGGTTTGTAACTGCAAGTGTGTTGTTTTTCCATTTCCCTTTGTGGCGTTTTACATCACAAGGGCTCCGGAGTGGAGGGGAGGGGGCCAGGCCGTGGCTCGGCATGCTAATCAAGCTGCCTTTCTCTCCCAAGGCCCTGAAATCTGTCAGAGGTCACCTAGGAAATGAGTTGAGACTTCACAGCCACTTCCTCTCTCCTTGGGAGAGTTTTGGCCATTGGCAGCTTGGTAGGGGAAAGGTCGATGGACTTGAGCCCAGAGGTGACTGGGTGCTGCAGAGGCTCTACCCGGTCACCCCAGAACCTGCAAGGAGGAGTGAAATCCATGAGTGGGTGTGAGAAAGTGGAGATGTCAGAGTTTGCCTTTGCACCTTAATGTAAAATTAAAAGTAGAATTCCTGTGTAGAGCTGCAGGAAAACGCTTACCATCTCCCCCTCAGGAGATTGTGTGTGTGTGTGTGTGTGTGTGTGTGTGTGCGCGTGCGTGCTGCCCTTGGTTGGAATATCAGATCTAAAGGTCAAGTTTCAATTAAAGGTGCACGTGTGGGCGATGAACTAGATAGGAAAGTGAAGGATGACCCCACTACCCTCATCTGGTGGGGATACGGCACAGCGAGTCACCCCTTCCGGGCCCGGCCACCAATTTCCCACTCATCCCTTCGGCTCTGGGGTTTCTCTGTTACTTTTAGAAACACAGACAGGTGTTACAACGATTCCCGGAAGAGGCTAGCTTGTTGGTCAGAAGTATTAACAGCAGAAGTTCTGTGTACCTGTCCAGTCTCTCGCTGTGCATCGGGCGGGTAAACGGAAACTAGGTCCCATAGGACCTTGCTGTTGGGGAGTGGAGTTCATATTTTTTCCTTTAGATAACGCACGGGGGAGTAGATGAGAGCTAAGTGGTGGCCCCGTTGGGACAGGCCAGGCTGTGTTTGCGTCCCCAGGTGCGGCTGCGCTCCTGCCGGGATGGGATTCCAGTGGAGGACGAGCCTCCTTAACAAGACGTGATGTGTGAAGACTCCATTAGCTGCTCGGGTGGTTTTACACCGGGAGTTTGTAGCACATGCAGAGAGGCAGTAACATTTTTATCTAAATTGTCAAGCAACAATCACTTCCTTGTAAGTAACAGGACTGTCATAAATACCAGAGCCCCCGCCCTGGGGTTCTCAGCCAGTGCCCAGATGCACGTGTGGGCTGGCGTGAGCGGGCATCTCCGGACCTGAACTTCCTGCCAGCCGGGCTTCAAGCTTTGCAGGGGAGGTCGAAGAGCCGCCTGCAGGCCGCAGTCCGTGCTGGCGTGGCCTCGCGGGAGAGCCCTGGAGGTGAACTTGGGCCTGTGCACTGCCCAGTCCCTCCGTTTGATGGACTCTGGGTTCCAGGGGGTGTCCTCTGGAGCAGCAGTAAAAATACGTCTTGGTCTGCGTGGCGCTCTCCCAGGCGCTGAGTCACGTCTCCGCTGTGATTCACTCGCTGTCCAACGCCAGAGGGATTCCACCCGGAGGTGTCTTCCGAATGGAGCTGTGGTTGGATTTGGCCCAAACCTCCCCCCATGTCTGCAGTGTAGTACAAGGGTGTTCTGCTTTCCAGGCTCTCCCCCACGAAGGTGAAATATCATCTTCCTGACCCAGAGTGCCGGTTCTTTTCTTCAAACAGTCTCATTACACGCTAAGGAAAGTTGAATGCCAACTCCAAAGGGTCCGCCCTTTGTGCTATGTGGGAAGACCGTGGGGTGAAATAGCAGGGCCCCAATTCTGGTCTTTTCTCTCCTGCCCTTGTGGCCCTGAGCCGC